TGTGCGGGGCGGCGCGCTCTGGCCTCGGCCCCAGCCTTGCACAAACTTTTCCCGGCCCGGGCGCTGGCCCCGCGGCGCCTTTTGTTCGGTGGCGCGGGCAGAGTACGGCCTCCGCTGCCCAGCTCCCCAGGGCCCAGCGTGGGCGCCCCGGAACCCCGCATTGTTCCTAGGCCCCCGGCGGCGTCCGCGCCCGGCCTCAGGATCCGTGCAACTTTGGGGTGGGCCACCCAGCTGGCACCGGGGCCCGAGCAGAAAACAGCCCCCACCATCACCCGGGCCAACCTTCCTCTCCCCCGAGGAGCAAAACCGAAAGCCGGTCCTTCTTTTTGTCTAACCGAATATCTGAACATACAAAGGGTTATAAAGAAATTCAACCGGGCCTCGTGAACCATTCGGCTGACATTTTCCCGAAGCACTTAAAAAAATGTGTTTGACAGGTCTGGGCTCCCAGCCTGGGAACCCTCCCTTCCCTTCTGCCTAAGAGACGGTTCTTTAGTTAGCTGACCAGAAAGGTTAGGACAAGGAGGGTCTAAAGGGAGAGGTTTTTAAAATCAGAACTGTGCAGCGGTGAATTCTTGTAGTTAATGGATCGTGAGTCGTGGGATTCTACTGGCTGGACGGTCTTTTCATTAGCTGTTTGTACCTCTTAAAGAAGTATGCATGGGTCAACTGTTGAATTAAGAGGAGAGGTATTTCATATTTGATCGTAAGTAGTTTGCGGTTAACCTTGCAGTCATCGAAGAGCTGCTTTGGAATTTAGACAAACTTTGGGCTTCTAAAAGTCAGAGTTTAGTACATCTTGCTTTTACAGAGAGAAACAAGGAATTATTCGTGTCATTTTCGACCTCACTTTTTCATGTATAAAAGCAGCATTAGGTTTTTATTTACTGATTATTGGGATGCATTGTTTTTTTTTATTGTTGCTGGAACGGAACTCAGATCCCGGAAACTGTTCTACTGTTGATAGATACTCAGGCCCCTTTCTCTATTTTGGAAGTAATCCTAGATTTACATTTAAAAAAAATGCCCTAGTGATTGTGGTGTTTTGGATTACCACTCATGGTGTTAAGAGTGTATATAAACTTAGTATATACAATCTTACGTTGTATAGCCATATTTATCGCAATGGGCTACTTTCTGCTAGCTCAGTGTCATAGACATACTACCCTGCAGGTACCAGGATGCCTCATGTCCATGTGGAACGAGGAATTGGAAATGCTGTTTTTAACAAGGACTAGATAGAAAAAAAGATCATTTTCTTTGATGAAGAATTATGGCTGAGTCTCCCAGTTGTTGGTCACACTTGTGAATACTGCAGCGACTTGATTTAAGTGCTCATAAAAATTGTGCTTATGGGATGGCTCAGTAGTTAAAGAATGTGCTGTTCAGTTTCCAGCACCCATGCCAGATAACTCACAACTCTTGTAACTCTAGTTCCCACGGGATTGGATACCCCTGGCCGTCTTTGTGCTTGCGCATGCGCGCGCACTGATATTTAAAAGAAATCTTTAAAAAAAATTGTATTTATTTTAAAAACTGAAAGTTGGTTTCTGTTGGTGGACACTGTCTCTGTATTTCTAGCAGAGAGCATTTTCTAATTACATACATTCATTTATTTTTGTGGTGCCGAGGATCGAACCCAGGGTCTGTACATGCCAGGCAACCACTGTACCACAGGCTCATCCACAGTCATTGTTAATGTATTTAATTTTGAGACAGGGCCTTGTAGCTCTGGCTGTCCTAGTAATCCTATGTAGTCCAGGCTGGCTTTGAACTCAAAGCAATCTTTCTGCCTCAACTTCCAGAATGCTAGGATTACAGGTGTTCAGCATCACATCTGGCTTGCTTAGTGTTTTGAGTAGTTTAGGATGGCCTCAGCTTCACAATCCTCCTACACTGACCTGAGTACTGGGGTAATTTTAAGTGCTCACTGCTAAACCCTGCCAGACATTATTTTTGAGGTGAATACATTTGTGTTATGAAAAAGAAATGTCTGTGAGTAAAGATGAAGATGACCAGGAGGAAAGTGTGTACCCCTAGAAGCCACCATGAGCTCACAGAGAGAGAGGCTGTCCTTTTTGTGTCTCCGCAGAGTGCATGACTTGCTTCTTTTATATTCCAGAATCCTGGTTTGCTGCATAACTCTGTTGCTTGTGAAGCAACTTTAATGGTTTTCCCCTTCAAATTAATAGTTTTATAGAGGTTTTCTGGTGTTCATTTGGGTGTGTGGGTTCCATGGCCAGCCGCATCTGGTTCTTTTGGAGTTGCATGAAAGAGGAGTTCCAGGCTAAACCATCTTAGCACAGGTTTTCTTGGTGGTGTTTTATAAAGGATTTATGGTGCAGGGTTTTTTAGTTAAGAGAGACCTGCAGTGAAGTTTACTTACTAAAAATTGCTGTTTAGTTGTTGGGCTTAGCTTGAAAACTAATTACTTGTTTCAGTGTGCTAGTTGCAGAACTAGATTATGCTTTACTTTGGCAAGAAGAAGGACTTCTGGAGAAGGGACATAACCAGCAGGCTGAACTGGTTTTATTTACCTGGGTAGCTTGTGAAATAAGAATAGCCTCATGTTTTTAAATGGTTGTCAATGGGAGTACAAAATACTGTTTTGTAACATGAGAATTTCACATATGAAATTCAAATATCAGAGTCTTCAAGTTTCGTTGAAACAGAGCCATCTCATTGGTTCAGCTATGGACTGTGTGTGTGTTTGGGTAAAGAAGTAATCACCACCCAACAGTATTTTCTCTGCCCTATCTTTAAGTCTGTCGTCCCCTCCGCTCCCCCCCCCCCCCCAGTTCCCAGCTTTGTTGATCAGCAGTGTGGGATTCTCAACCACAGGATGGGAGGATGGACTCGGTGGGGGCGAAGTAGAAAGCAGCAAGAACTAGATGTCACTCATCATTGTCAGTACACTCAGAGCATAGGAAACCACAAAACCCTTTGGATGTAGTCTTTTTGGTGCGTTCTACCTAGTGCTTAAAGTTAAAGAACCATTATGGAGCTATTGAAACTTGAAAGGCTCCTCAAGGCCCCAATAACTAGATTCTTAGTAATAACAGTCATCCACAGCCTCTCAATGGATGGATTGAAAGATTGTTATAAAACTTGTTGGTTCCAAACCATAGCACTTTCTCCAGGTGGAAAACTTGTATTTGTTTTTCACAT